ACGTATCGGAAGGTAGTCGTGGCCTAAATCTGGTCAGAGTACAACAGAACTTCAGTTGGCTGGTGTTCGGGGAAAGCTTGAGTGTATAACAGGGACTGAAAGGCATCCAGTACGTTTTTAGGGCTCGGAAACCCGATTTACATTATTATCTACATAGTAAGTTGAATCCACACTGTCCCAATGTCTATTGAACCTCATGGAGCAAAATTTCACAAAATTTTGACGGAAAATAGTTACAGAAAGGGCGCTCGGCTGATTTTTAGGGTACCACACAGAAAATAAAGGACTCATCTTGGGGCTTGTTTCTGCATTTTTAAAAGACCAAAGAATGAAATGCTGACTCAAATGTGCTAATGTGAAGCAGTATGTGTCAATATCACAAAGATTGCCTTATTCAGAATATTTCCAGTTTTGCTGCCCTGAAATCGCATTGGACGGTACATGTACCATGGGCAATCTATATCTAACCTTACATTCAACGCAAGTTGTATAGACACTAAAAGACGCCATGTAATGTCTCCAGACATGAACTGTGACGAAATGTTACAGACTCATATCATAAAGTAGATTATTTTTCTTCCGGGTGTGTGACGATACAATACGAGACAATGAAAATACTTGACGATGTTTTGATGTAAAATCATATTTTCTTGTCTCAAGGTTATAAAGGTGATCTTTTTAATTAAATTTCTTGTAAGTACGATTCTTAAACAAGAAATACGTCTCGGTAAGGGCAAATCATTGCACCTTAATAAAAAGAGGGTATTGTATCTTTTAATAATAATACACAATACAGGAACAACTAACTGTATGTTAGTCGACTCTGCTTTGCTGCCTTGGGGTTTTGTGTTGGTTTAAAGTCATTTCTTCCTAGTATAATTTATAAACAAGCTTAAAAAACACACCAAGTCATTGGTAGAGAAATTCACCTACAGATAGAGGTTATGTGCAGGTGAAAATATCTGGCGTCATTATTGTATAATATAGACTTGGGATTTGTTAAAGATCCCCAATGCAGTTTTGAGGGCTTGAAAACAAGATTTTTCAAAGTCAATGTTCTACTCACTTGACAAAGTTGAATCAACACTATCCCAGTTTATATCTATACTCAAGGAGGAAAAATGCCGAAAATTGCGACAGAAAAAGTTACTTGCATGTTTTTGGATACCACACAGAAAATAAAGGGCTCCGGATTGTTTCTGGGCTGTTCCAAATACCTAAAGTAAGAAATACTAATGCAAATGTGGTGTAATGTGGGACAGTATGTGTCAATATCATACAGATTGCCTTATTCAGAATACACTAAGTTTTGCCGCCCAGCATTCGACATTTTTAAAGCCCCTGTCACACATTTACAATCTTCCCCCGAATCCGTTGCCGAATACCCAATTCCACCAGCCAACCTGATTCGGCTGGCGTTTGGTAGTACTTAGCTTACCAGATTTAGGCCATATGAAATGAATTTGAGTTAAATTTGAGCCAAAATTGACGCACCGAACGCTACTGACTTACTCCCGCATGGCTGGATAGGCTGGTATTTCGCTGACTTACGGTCGAAAACCAGTTAACTTTGATCGTGCCTCCCGAACAACTCACGAATACTTTAAACATTTTGAAACTTTCGGCTGGCGCAGCCGAACTGTAGCCGACTAAAGCCGAATGCCAGCCGACTTTGCCAGGGAGTTGGTCGGCGGGCGTTCGGCTAGCGTTCGGGAGGCCAAATTCGTGAATGTGTGCCAGGGGCTTAAACTAAGGTTTTGTTTATACTTATAGGGGGGCCCGCAAGCCCTTTTCCGTAGAGCGTAATCGGCCGTTTTAATTCTACGTGGAGGGTAGACGGACCGCTCTAATTCAACGTAGAGCGCATTTTGCGTCGAGCGTGTATTCGCTGTTTTAACGTATTGTGTTGTGGCCACTTGGAATTTATCGTAAAGTGTAATCGAGAAGTTTCCGAATTCAGCGTAGAGCGTTGTCGAGACACCCCCCCCCTCCACTGCATGCAGGCCCCCTTATAGATTGACTGTCCCTCACCTCTGGGAACACTTCACCAGGTCTGGTACCGTGAAGAGGCCCATTGCGACGCGTGGTTTTCGGTGTCGTGACCGCTGTGACGTCAGATTTCCACCTTGCTTCATTTCTGGTTGTAGGAGTAGTGTGCTTGACTGAAATTTAAAGCCCTTGTCAAACATCACAGTGTATTTATCAGCCTTGTATCTTGGACAGTACTAGTGGATTCTACTAAGTGCACTGTGTCGCACATTAAATATGTTTTGTATCATCAACTTTATTGCTCAACAACTGTAGCTGGTACAATCTATGGCAAAGAAACAACACTGGTACATACACAAACTAATACTAAAATATAATTCTAACGAGCTAGTCCAGAATTAATGCTAAAGCTAATCTTTTTTTTTTCCTAGGAAGAGCATTATTACATTCTGTAATTCAGGAGATATGTCAGTTATTTACAATATGGTGTCGCTTTTGTAGTGATTCGGATATGAATTTTCCAACGTACACTGATATCTAAGTAGTACGACGGGAACTTTTACTTTTGTAAACCATGCGGTCGCACAGTTGTTGAGGACCATCCTGCAGAGCTTACATAAATGGGACTTTAACGCTCAACATAATCCTTCTTAAAACAGCTAAGATTAAGAAAATCCCACACGTTCCCTCGGTACAAGACCCGATTCACGACGCACGGATCTTCAATAGTTGACGTAGAGATAATTTGGCAAAAACAAGATAAATATTTATGGGAAAAAAAGGGTGGACCTCATCAACTTTAAACAAACCTCGGCCACTGAGAGTCATAGAAAGGTCAAAACTAAGTACGTAGAATTACTGGTGTTACAATGTTTGTAGGTTTTGGACATGAGATCGTGGTTTTCTTGTGGAGAGTGTGTATTAGGTTCTTGATGAAATACAATTAGTCTTTGTAGTTCCTCTGTAAGAGGATATAAACAACGTTTGGTTAATATACAGAACAGTAAGTAGTAACTTGTTATACAAGGTGGGCCACATGGAGTGGTCGAAAAAGGAACACAATTTTGAGGTTCCACTTGTTTTCAAAATTAATACAAAAGCATAATACAAAAGCATGAAAGAAAGAAAGAAAGAAAAAGAAAAAAGAAAGAAAGAAGGAAAGAAAAAGAAAAAACGAAAGAAAGAAAGAAAAGGAAAGAAACAAAGAAAGAAACAAAGAAACAGAAAAAGAGAGAAAGAAACAAAGAAAAAGAGAGAAAGAAACAGAGAAAAAGAGAAGAAAAAGAATGTAATCAGGAAATACGGAAATAAGGAAAGAGGGAAGAAAAATAAACACTCAACATTCAAATCCTGCTTGAATAGTACCACATAAAGAGCTTACGAATTTCTTTTGTCCCCATATTCAAATCTTACGGTCTTCAAACTTCTAGCCTTCCTTGTTCTATGTCAGCGCAGGTAGTGTTCTATGTACCGTGACTAAAACTATCATTGAACATTAACCAAATCCTCGGTTCAACAATACCACATCGATACACACCTGGACATTAGAACAGATTACGTGTTTCATATGTCAGTAACTTTAACACGCCCAATAAAGTATGGGATAATCAGACGCCTTGTTTACGAACCGTAACATCTCGTCTGTAAGGTCTTTTCCAATGAAATTCTGTCTCTTTACAGTTTATACCCCCTGCGTTTTGACGATGAGGCCTTACAAAGCCTCTGCTTTTTTGTATTCATCATTGTAAATTGTAGATACATTTCCCTGTAATCCAATCACACAAATGTGTAGATATGTAAATATTGTACATTTGGGAATGCATCTGTAGCAGCGACACCTGTGCTGCAATGCAATGTGACCCAGTCAGAATTGCCCCGGGGAAGGTGACAGACGGTCACCGAAACGTCGGCTGAATAAAAGACTTGGTTGTGCGAAAATAGTCTCTTTACTCATTATTGCAAAGTTTAGAACAGTATACCGAGAGAAATGATGCGTTTTGCTTTACTTGTGATGACCAAGTTAAATGTTTATGGAAGCTATCAACAGTATTGGTTAACGCGGTGTATAGAAAAAGGGCGTAATTTTGTGGGTTGAAATGTGCCACAATTAGAAAAAATCTTAGAAGGAAATTGAAATTTCCCTGTTTCTTCTTCTTGTCGAGTCACCAGTCACTGCTTAACTCTCCCACTCTAGTATTCCGCACGTGCCCTTGCTCAGGGGGTCAGGACTTCCATGTCACCTTGCTTGTCTGTAATGTTGTTATAATCCGCTAGGTGGACCTTCAGCACAGCCGTTTAAAACCGTTTGGTGATGCCTCACGGTTCCAGCTGCAGGTGATCGGAGACAAGCTGTTTGTGTCCGTGTTCTTGTCGTGCTTGCTTTTGCCTTAGGGTCCGCAGCGTTTTCCATCTTTTTCTGCTCCCTCATCGCCAAATATCAATACTTTCCATCAAACATCAAATGTCTAATTTTGTTATACTTCCACATCGGATCGTTGTAAAGGGTAAATCGACAGGTCACATCCCCGGATGTAGTCCCTAGGACGAAAAACGTAACTTAAACCGTGAAGCATTGTGGTGCGACGTTACGTCACGTATTGTTATCCCTAATCCCTTACAACTGTCGTATCCAGAACCGTGCTTCATCCAGAATCGTGCCCAGGCATGCTCTGTAACAATCAATACTAGTTAGCCCAGAGGTTGGGTCATGATCAGCTGGACCTTAAAACATTGACAAGAAAATGTAAGAATGATAAATAGTGCACATGTAACTGATACAAGAATACTTTTTAAGACTTTCTGAGAGCATCACACATCGCGTGTCAGAGCACACATTTTCTTATTATTTAATGATGTTTAACTTGTCCTTTCGCTGTTAGGTTGTGTACGGGGTCAGAGGGCGGTGGTGACCAGTGGGATTCCCCGCACACTGACCCCGTACACAGTGACCCGGTAAGTTCCGTAAACACTACGTACAGCCGAGTCAAGAAGAGAGAAGGAAGCCAAAGGAACCCAGGGTCTCTGCTTGGACGTCTCGGTCTTTGTGACAAACCTCGCGGGCTCTTCCACAACCGTGCATCGTACACACGGGAAAGAACAGGTAAAACCAACACACGTTCTGGTTCCTGGTGCTTACTATTCGTACATACTCAGTACATGTATAGCGACGTTCGGCTTGGTCTCATACGGCTCGTATGATATTGATCATTGTGCAATCGCAAACTTTGTTCGGATTATCAATGATATGTACATCTGTACTTCAAAATTCAGGGATCTTATAGCTGGTTATTGTCGGTGGTTGATTCTGTCCCAATCACTGATTGAAAATTTTACGGCACTAAAACAGTACGACCGCGCCGGAAGCGAAACTAAAAGTTGAGCCGTGTGTTTTCTTAGCATCCAAAGAACTTATAGAACAGGGGGTTTGGTGGTCTTTGGCTGTTTTCTGATTAGCCCAGTTCTAAAACAGGGGTAATTCAACCAGGCCGGCTATGTTGTCTATATGCAATCAGAAAATCGCACATAAAAGATCCCAAAGACCATGAAGACCCCCCCCCCAAACCCTCAGTTTTTGGCATGCTATTGAGGCTACGTTTTCCTTTTGTACAGAATTTCAACTGTAAAACTGTACGATGAAGGATGTAACTAAACCGTCACAATCATTATTATCTCTCTGCTTCAATCTTACACTCTCTATATCTGCTTTAAAACCCAGAATAGTAGTGATTCTTTTATCATACAATGTATGGATAATAATCGAAGAGGCTCTGCATGCCTTTTTTTCGGATGGCGTAATCTGGGATTTTCAAGCCGTCGTAATCCTTAGGCTGTCACCAAAAATCAACGTAATTCGTAATCAGTACGTAAACATTAGCTGTAACACGTAACCAGTCGTTTTCATTCAACGTAAAGCGTTAAACGCAATCCTTAAAGTACTCCATGATTTCACGTAATTTGTAGTCACCTCCCCTCCTCCATGCAGACCCTCATCAAACAACGGAAAGTCCCGAAAGGTAATCTAATTATAGACCGGTGACACAGGTCTGAAAACAATGGGGGGTTGTGTGGCGTAGCGGCAGAGTGGCGTAGCGGCAGAGTGGGAACTTAGAGTCCCGGGTTCGAGTCCTGACATGCCACCGGTCGTGTGCCCTTGGGAAAGGCACTTTACACGGCTTTCCTCACTTCGCTCAGGTGAAAATGAGTATTGTCCTGTCATGTATTTGTCCCCTGTGTTGGTGGCGGCATTAATATTAGTTGAAAAAACTTGAGTGTGTCGTCACCACGTCTGGTGATTACATGTTGGAATTTAAAAAAATTAAAAAAAAACAATGGGGCCTGAGAAAACGTATTATCCATAAGATACAAAGTTCAAAAGAGCAAAGTTTGCCATGATGTAATGAAATGACGTACTGCTTAATTTCCAAGCAGATGTTTGGATTGAGGATAAACCAGAACAGCCGTAACATTCGCAAAGCAAATGCATAATGTTTACCTTCGCATATGGTCTGCTCTATTAATTCTTACTCAAATATATTCATATATATTGTCAGGCAGGAGTCCCTCCTACTATAAGATTGCAACATGAGGTAACCCAACACCAGTTACCATGGGAACAGACGTTAACAAATCAGGTCATTGGCCAGGTCAGAGGTTAGTGTTTGGAACGGAAGAAGAGGAAGATGAAACGGTGAACAGAAAATATACGTATAAACAGCAAAATGAAATTTGCAATGTGAGCTCTCTCTCTCTCTCTCTCTCTCTCTCGTCTCTTTGGCGACGTGTAGGCTCTTCGCCTCGTGAAAATTTGTTGGACGTAGAAAAACATAACAATTTTTTTCATGTATGCACCTGTAGACTATGGCAGAAGGAAGAGACTCCTTCTTACCGCCTGCTGTTAGCCGGCCCTGTAGCGCCCCCTTGCGGAGGCCCCCATCATCACCTCCAGGGCTGACTACTGGTATATCCGGTCAGGTGCGCCCTGTTTCGGTCGGGCCCAGCATTGACGAACGATCCATGTCTTCTTCGCCGAATCTTTGCGGTAGGTTAGGCCACACCAAGTAAATTTTATAGATGACGTCCTTTGGAGACCCTAAATCTAATGCGAGAGGGCGAAAAAAGGGCCCTAAAAAACAAGATGCCTAGATTAGAAATATACTATGAGACGACAAATGTTAGGACACAAATTGAATGAGGTGACACAGTGTAACAAGCAAGAAGTCTATTATTCATCATCAAAACAGCAATAAATCAGGTGGAACAGCAGTTGTCGTCCTGTCCTGTTTTCGCGTTACGGGTTTCACGTCAATCTTACGATTTGCGGCACTGTCGTGACTCTTTGGTCATAGTTACAGGAAGCAGAATTTCTTGGGTTTTTTTAGGAACAGGCCAAAATCAATGCGCGCGCGGACTTCATCCATAAAATTTACTTGGTGTGGCCTTATAAAAGTATAATAAACTTTTAAAAACATACGACTGTATCAGTGTAAAAAAAAACTGCGGGAGAGAACGGTTCCAACAAGCAAAAGTCCCTCGGCGGCAAAGCCGTCGCTCACCGAAAAAATAACGTAACCACCTCAGAAGTCTGCGAAGGAGGCTAGTAGGAAACACAGAAAATCAGAGACTTATAATAACAAGTCGATCGGTAAAAATAAAGCCAGCTGCAGCCGCGCCGCGTGCCTGGGAAGCTGGTTTGTTACGCCGAAGGGCGGTTATACCAGTAGTACCGGCTCTACAGATACAGATATAGATGTACCACACGTATACGTCACTCAGAGTTAAACGTTTTCGCAGCATCTGGAATATGGCCAACTATTATTACCTGCGCATGAATGAAAATAAAAATGAAGGTACTTTTTGTCTTTCTGAAGAACACTTGAATGCTTGAGCATTGATAGGTTGGCTTTGGATTTAAAAAAAAAAGAAATTTTGCTGCTATTGAAGTTTATTTATTCCTCCACGAGGGAGGTCAATGACCTCCGCGGAGTACTGAAATAAGATCTAGACGTCGACGTTTTCGTACATTCGCATCTGTAACTTATTATCTTGCTGTAGTTGCATTGGTATGAATTTGGCATCTCGTCTCTTAGTATGCGGGAGATGATCTGCATATAATATGTCATATGACATTTCAGAAAACGCTCCTATTTTGAAGGACTTGTGGAATGGGTAATTAATTTCGTCAGCCTTTGTAGGGGTTTTCAAGCAGATATTTGGTGATTTGTGGCAAATGTCGCGTTCACGGTAGTGGCACCATGTATAAAGGCATCCAATGCAACTTCAGTGAGAAAATCCGTTTGATATTGAAATTAATTGCCATTTCTTACAGCAAATTTCGTCATCAATTCCTGCACTTGAAGCGTTTGTTTTGATACTCATAGAAACGGGAAGGCACAACCGCATTCCTCTCCAGAATAGACTCTGTCAATACTGTAACATGAATAGAATAGAGGATGAACAATACTTTCTTCTAGACTGTACTTGATATTCTAATGAAAGATCTGTCCTTTTTAATCATTTTCAATGGAAGTTCCCATACTTTAAACACCTAAGTGCAAATGATAAATTTATATTTTTTGATGCGTCTAGACAAACCCTGTATCACAAACAAGATCTGTTCCCACATTTTCCACTGTACAAAAAAGCGAGAAGAAGTTGACCACTCTGTATTAGCTCAGTAACTAGAACCCTTTGTATTAGCTTAGTATAGTATCCCTGTATGTTCCTTATCTATGTATGTCTAAGTCAAGTAGTGTATCCACTTTTTTTACACACGTTTGTTATGTGTCTGTTAAGTCTTGACCTGTACCTAGCCTGTTGTGGCATGAATGTACAATAAAGTTACTAGTATTTCATTTCATTACCTTCGCCAAGAAGGTTATGTTTTCAGGGGCGTTCGTGTATGTGTGTGTGTGTCTGTCTGTCTGTCTGTCTGTCAACACGATAACTTGAGAAGGCCTTGATGGATTGTCTTGATACTTGGTAGATGGGTAGGTCTTGATGAGACCTCAAAATGATTAGATTTTGGGCCCCCTAGCGGCTTGTTATGGTACTGCAGCTGAACTTCCGGTTTTGATATCTCATGATCTAGACATGCTATGGTGATGAAATTTGGATGGTAGGTAGCTCTTGTGCTGGGGAAGAAGTAACGTGAGTTTAGGCCCCCTAGCAGCTTGCTCTGGAACTGCAGGGATATATTCTTGAAAATATTCAAAAGGGGATAACTCAAGAACCAGTTGACGGATCGTCGTGATTTTTGTTATGTAGGTAGCTTACGTGATGCTTAATATAATTATGTGACAATTATGCAAATATGGCTGTAATTTGCATAATTTATGGGGAAATTCTATAAATCATCTGCATTCCATGATAGGACAATTGAAGCTTGTGACATTGGTAATTGACAACGAAAGAAACACAGGAAGATATTGATTATGTTAATAATGACTTAATTTGCATAATTAATTAGAAAATTTTATAATTATGTAATGATAACTGCCTGGAATTTCATACTTGTGGTATTTGAAAGTTAAATTGAGGTTAACATCATTAAACATAATTTATTCAAATCAGGACCTCATTTGCATAATTTATTAGGAAATGCTAGAATGCATTGTTTGTTAATATAAGACTGTCTTTTGGCTGAGATTATGATAAAATGATATAATTCATGAAAATTAGGTTCCTATTTCTTAAATCAGGGGGGAATAATCTAATCTGTAATTTGTCAGTCATAAAGATTAACATCATTTGGCGAAGGTATGAGATCGGGGAACTCTAGTTTGTAATACGTTGTTTTATTTTTTGTCGACACAATACACCCTACTCTGCCAAAAGTGTTTCAACTTCACGTAATTCTGTGTCCAATGTTTTTTTTTAAACACAGGATCGTCTGGCTACAGTTCGGAATCATCCCTGGCGGGTTGGTCTACAAGCCCGAAGGGTGCTTTCCCCGCCCAACAGCCGACAACTGACACCCGTCCTAAAGCGACCCCTAGCGGTAACCGGGGTGCTTTCAAGATCAGCCAACGGCCTGAAATCAACCACTATAAACGCCTGTTGGAGAAGTTGGCAGACCGGCTCAGCCCTGATGAGGTGGATCGACTGAAACGGCAGTGCGGCGTCCCAGCCGGTTTGACGATTGCTTCTGCTTCAATTGGGCCAAACTGACTAAATTTTATGGATGACATCCTCTGAAGACCACCGAACTAGTGCGCGCGGGCGAAAAAATATTCGGCCAAAAATGCTGCTAAGCCACAGGAACACAAAGCTGGTATTGTGAATTTGCGACAAGCCGGCACATGTTGGCCTATTACGGAATTAATGAATCGGCACAGTGCGTATGTACGATTTTGATTTGATTTTTGATTTTTGATTTCTACTTCGGTAGCCTGGGTGTCCGAGGGCTAGAACCTCGGAGGTCGTGGAATTTTTTTAGGCAAAAATCAATGCTCGCGTGGATGTCATCCATAAAATTAAATCATTGTGGCCTTACGGTAGTCCGATGCGAAGCATCGTGCACAAAGATGAGTCGGAAATGTGGACATAGATAAATAGATAGAGAGTGATAGAGAGAGAGATAGAGAGATAACATTAGGTAGAGATATAGATGGATAGATAGATACATAGATAGATACATAGATAGATAGATAGATAGATAGATAGATAGATAGATAGATAGATAGATAGATAGATGGATAGATAGATACATAGATAGATACATAGAGAGATAGATAGGGAGAGATAACATTAGGTAGAGATATAGATGGATAGATAGATACATAGATAGATACATAGATAGAGAGATAGATAGAGAAAAAGAGAGAGAGAGATAGAGAGAGATAACATTAGGTAGATAGATAGATAGATAGACAGATATAAATAGATAAACAGATACATACTTTACATAGATAGAGAGATAGATAAATAGATATGAAAATATATAGAGAGAGATAGATAGATAGATACATGGATAGATAGAGAGAGAGAGGTAGATAGAGAGAGATAACATTAGGTAGAGAGATGGATAGATAGATAAAAAGATATATAGATATATATATAGATAGATAGAAATTTCACTTCCTCAGCATAAAGATAAATGTATATGAATAAATGTTTATTAAACAAACATCAAACTATATCCTCCTTCCCTCCGTGCCACAGGCACGGCTGAGAGAATGAGGACCAACCGTGACTTCATGCAGTGGCTGATTAACACCGACAAGATAAAAGAAGACGACCTGAGTCACCTGGGTATTCTCCTGCACTATGTGAAGAGGCCTGACCTGGTGGAGAAAATACGTAGGTGAGTCGTAATTCATGTGGGAGAATGTGGAACAACTAGAAAGGCCGACATTTGCTTCGGAGCAAATGTAGCATGACCTCACCACGTTTCACGACATGGCAGGGAAAGAAGGAGAAATGCAAGGGAAAACAATGCTTTTTATTAATATAAATATAGTATGAAGTGACATATAACTAAGAATGTAACAGTTGGATCCTACATTATTGGTTAGGATTTATTTACATAATCTGTTGATTTTCATGATTAAAAAAAAGCGTTTATGTCCCGCATTTCAATGCTCGAGAAGGAATGTTTTACATCTACCCCAAAACACTTGAATGCAGTTCAATACTGTAAATATGGTATGGCTATGTGCAGCTGTTAATACAGTTAACCCAATTAAATCTCAGCAGCCAATCAGCGAGACGAATAGAGGAAAGCAGCTTATTTGGTTTAAAGATTTTAAAATTTGGTTTAAAAAATAGCAAGATTTACAACCCAAAAGACTTTTTTCCTGGCTAATACTTGTAAAAAACATAGTAACTATTCCTAATATAAGTATGTGGAGGCATACACAGGTGTTCATTTAGCAGTAAAGTAATTAAGGGAACAGCCAATCAGCGATCACATCTCCAAACAGGGTGCACCTGCTGCCCATATTTGGGCATTGGCCCTATGCCCAAATATGGTCACACTCAAATCTTGTGTAGTGAAGTCACTATAGTGGTGAAGTCATAAAAACGGAATGAAGTGGGAAACTGTGAGTCAAGAGGGCAGTCACATTCATTATTTGCTTTTCTAAATTAAATGTTCACTTGTGTTTTTATTTCAACACAGTCCGGACGATGGATAGACTTGCAAAAAGGTTACAAACTTAAAACTAAAACTAGTTTCCTTTGCTTAGGAGTGCATTAATGTTCATTTTAAAAATATATCTACGGCAACAAATACTGTAAAATGTCTCCATTCTGAGGCACTCTCACTCACTCACTCACTCACCCACTCACTCACTCACCCACTCACTCACTCACCCACTCACTCAACCACTCACTCACTCACTCACTCAATCACTCACTTACTCACCCACTCACTCACTCACTCACTCACTCACTCACTCACCCACTCACTCACTCACTCACTCACTCACTCACTCACTCACTCACTCACCACTCACTCACTCACTCACTTACCCACCCACTCACTCACCCATTCACTAACTCACTCACTTACTCTCTCTCCCATATCTTAGTCAGCCGTTGCGGCAGCATGATGTTTGGCAAAGGTTTTTGCTGGTGATCTTCTGCCAGTCTTGCCATCTGGTTGGCTGTTTGACCGTCCAAACCCATGGAACCAATTCTTATATAATTATCAGTCTATTTCATATGCTTTCTTTGGGTAAAAAAACCAATTAGTTGTAAACTGATACAGATCCAAAACCACATTTTCCTCTCGAGGTAGGAAAGGTATTCTCATAATGGCTGTTAATTCCTTTCTATGAAACAACTTGAAGGTATGAAGAGGACCATGGTGTTGCCATTGACCGCAGGACTCCGACCATCCAGTCAAGTTCCTCGGATGGCACGGAACCAGAGGAAAGGACCCGTCAAACCTATGTCCACGACATGGCAGAGAGGCTTGAGCAGCTGCGAGACAGGTACAGTGAAGTTTACTTTGAACAAATTCTAGGCCCTGGCCTGGGTGTCTTCAGCGATCTCGCCCCCCCCCCAGTGATT